GCATGTTGTCTTCCTAAGACGAGTTTCCCCTGCCTGATCCCTTTGCAAAAAGATTCTGACAAAATCCGGTGGCTCTTCAAAAATAGATGGAGTTGTAGTAGAGTTCATGTTGAACCCTACCTTTGCTAAACCATCAGCCAACTTATTCCCCTCCTTGTAGGTATGTGTAATAGTAGCACTATGCAGTTGGTCCACGAGGTACCTGCAATCATGGAGTATATTAGTATAAATGATGTTGTCTTTTTCTAACATTGTAAGTACCTCTGATGCATCGATGTTTATTTTCAGTGGCACCAAATGGTGAGTGTTCGCCAATTCCAGTCCATAGAATAGAGCCTTTAGTTCTACCTGGACAATGGTGGCATTGTCCAAATTGCCTGCAAAGCTTATAACCCAATTTCCATTTGAGTCGCGTATGGTTTCTCCTATTCTTGCTTTTTGAGTTAACGTTGATACAGCCCCATCCGTATTTAATTTGTAGTAGTTTAGTTTAGGGGGTATCCATTTAATAGGTTGCATTATGGTTACTTTTGGTGTTGCTACCTTTGCAGCTAAATAGGTGAATTCCAATGCATGATTAGTAATTTATTTAAAAGATAGGTGATGTGGTGAATTATTGAAATTGTGATTGTTACAACTAACCCAAATGTCCCACAAAGTGTATGAGATAAAAGTTTTGCTATTTATACGGTAAGGCATGTTGTTGTACTTTGTATTAATGAGTTTCATTACCCAAACTGATGGTTGAGAGTATTGATTTATGTTATTGATAAAGTTTGGTATTCCTAATGCATTCCATATATGTTTTATATTAGTACAATCTAGAAATATATTATTAATAGTTTTCGGAGCTGCGTGACAAATTTGGCATTGGTCGTCTAGTGTGATACCTATATGATGTAGGTATTTTTTTGTTGGCAACCTGTTATGCATTATGAGCCATAGGAATGTTTTTATCTTTGGAGGTGTTTGAAGCTTCCAAGTCCAATTATAAGTGGTTGGATGTTACTGCAAATTTAAGTCTTGTTGGAGCAATTGTGGATACATTGATTGGACAGTAAATTTACCATTGTTGGATAGTCCTCACGAGATAGTGTCCACTTTGTTTGTGTAGATGGGCATATTAATCCTATTGAATTTGGTTTTAAAAGAGTTTGTAACGTTAAAAGGTATTTCTGCCCAATTCCAAGTATTATAATGTCTGTAAGTGCTAATATTCCTTGTAGTATGTTCCAAAAGTATAGGGCCATGCAGTAAGGATCTTATTGTGGTGTTAGGAGCAATCCATAGCTCCGTCCAGAAATTTATTTTGGAATTTTTGCCTACCTGCCATTGAATTCCAATTTGACATTTTTCCCAGCCTAACATAATATTTTTCCAAATATGTGATGAATTTTGTATTATACGTTTGTTTTTATATTTATGAATAAGAGTGGATGCCCATAATTGATTAGGAGAGTAGAATAGGCGTCATGCTAATCCTGCCAGTACTGCCTCATCTTTTAATTGAAGCCTTTGTATAGCTAGACCTCCTATATTTTTGGGCATGATAACTTTTTTTCAATTTACCAAATGAATCTTTCATTTTTGTTGAGTAGTTCCCCATAGATAATTGCGCATGTATTATTCCATTTTGTGAATAATATGTTTAGGAATTGTAATGTATTGCATTATGTGGTTTGCTAAACTGGATATATCACTACTAGATATTCGGTAATTAGCGACCACAAAAACCGACCAACGTTGGTCGATTTTGGCAAATCACCGACCAAAACGCATCCAAACACGCTTGGTCGCTATTTTGGTGGTCGTTTTAGTATATCGACCAAGGTTGGTTGCTAATTACCGACCAAGGTTGGTCGCAAAGGTAAAATGACCAAGTTTGGTTGAAAAAGAAAACCGACCAAAGTTGGTCGGTATTTTAATTATGTAGTCAAAAGATTCACCATCTGGGAATCGAACCGGGGTGTGTACTGTGGCAGGATACTATTCTATCACTAAACTATTGGTGCATTTTATTTTAAGATTATCTTATTTTTTGTTTATACTCTTTAATTGTATTTTCACACGAGAAAAACCAACCAAAGTTAGTCGGTTTTATTAAAAAATAAAATTACCGACCAAAGTTGGTCGGTTTTTTGAAAATGACTGGCCGAATTTACCGATCAAAGTTGGTAGTTTTTTTTTAATATTAATTTTTATTTATTTCAATTGCAAAAACCGAGCAAAGTTGGTCGGTTTCTTGAAAAATAAATTTCATGGGACTCAAAAATAGTTTTCAGCATTTTTGCGCCAATGAAAACGACAAAAGTTGGTCGGTTTCGTAAAAAAAAAAAAAATATTTTGAAAAACAGACCAAAATTGGTCGGTTTTTGGCTGGTTTTTTGACCGACCAAAGTTGGTCGATTTTTCTTGGTTGGTTTTGCCGAATTTCTATTAGTGTATATAGTGTTAATTTAATTAGGGTAAATCTCCCTGGGAGTGATAGGAAGTTAGCTTTCCAAGTCTAATTTCAGCAACATGTGGGCTGTTCGCCCTTTTTTCATATTTTTTAAGTGTTGAAATATTTTTTGTACAATGATAGCGTTATCTGAGGCTCTTTTTCCCTGTTGGAAACTGGATTGTGTGGGACCAATTATTTTTTGTAAGAAAGGTTTTAGTCTGTTCACAATTATTTTTGTAATTAGTTTGTAAACTGTGTTGCATATGCTTATGGGACGATATTGAGTGATGGCTACTGCATTTTTGATTTTTGGAATTAGACACAAATAAGTTTTTTTAATTTCTTCTGAAATTTTGCTTTCCTTGAAAGCAGTGTCACAACATTTGATAATTGATTGGCTCACTTGTTGCCAATATTTTTGGAAAAAATATGGATGAAGTCCATCTGGCCCTGGTGCCTTAAAAGGTTGAAAGGACAATAGGACTTGCTTTATTTCAACCAATTGTAATGGTTGTGCCACATGTTGCTGATCAGAGTAAGTTAAGGAATTAACCATTGTGAATTCATTAGTTGTTCTATTAGTGAATGAGTGTTGTGTTTGGAATAGGGTAGTGTAGTAGTATTGATAAATAGTATCTTGTATTTTTGTTGGATCGAAAGTACAATAGCCTACACTATCTTTTAAGGCGTTTATACGATTACGTCTACGTCTCTATAAAGTAGACATATGAAAAAATTTGGTGTTCGCATCACCATCGTTTAGCCATTGAATTCTTGATTTTAATTTCCAAAAATCTTCCTCCTGCCTTAGTAAAGCACTAAATTCGTGGGTTAGTTATATTTCTAAGTTTTGTAGGAAATGGCTAGTAGGATAGTGAATTGATTTTTGAATTCCATTAATTCTATTTAATATTTTCTGGTTTTTTTTTTTTGTAAAAATGTTTCCAAAAGTGTGCTTATTCCAATAAGTTACATTATGTTGAAAATTTGTCATAGCTTCAACTAATGAAGAGCTATTTTGCGATGACTGTTATATTACATTAATAAGTATAGGGTTTGTTGTCCAAATTTTTTCAAATCGAAATATATTATTTCTAGGTAGTCGATTTTGTTCAAGTGTGACTAGAAGAGGACAATGATCTGAATAGGTGCGGGGAAGGTGTTGCACTACTGTTTCAGGGAATATTTGAAGTCAATCATAGTTTGCTAGTAGTATGTCCAGTCTTTCTAGGATAGTATTTCCATTCCTACGTTTATATGTCCATGTATACAGGCTACCCTTAAACCCTAGGTCTACTAAGTTGCAATAATTAAGACATTATGCAAAGGTATCCACCCTTGTGTTATTGATGAGATTACCACCAAATTTTTCATTTTCTCTAATGACCTCATTAGAGTCCCCTCCAACTAATCAGGGACCCTTATAAGAATCATGCACACATTTTAAATTTTTCCACAATAAGCTGCATGATGAAGTAGAGTTATTTGCATAAATTGAAGAAAACAACCACTTAGTAAGGTTAGGCCATACCTGTACCTCCTGTGAGATCATCCACAGTTACCAAATCTACATTCCATAGTAAGACTATATCACCCGTCTTTTCTTGTGCCTTAACTTGTACCATATGTGAGAAGTTAAAATCATTTTTTAAAACCGTGTGATCATGCATGCGTGTCTCCAGTGGTGCAACTAAGACAGATCTATAGTTATCCAACAATGATCTAAACTGTCTTCTAAATTTTGCATTATTCGAGCCCCTACAATTCCAAACTATTAGATTCATGATAGGTTGTGAGTTGGTGGGTTCATCTAGGTCAGCTATTTCACTCGTTGCTCTCAGTAGTGCCTGAGTGTGCTGCTGTCTTGGAGTGTTTTGTTTCAAAGATGGAATTATTACCATGGAGTATTTCCCCTCCTGTTAATTTTAATTTGCCCTAAAGTTTACACTGCATGTTGTTAGTTCTGGAGGGCATTTAGTATGAATTTTTTTGCTTACTGCTCTTTAAGGCTGTAGAGATTTAGTCGTGCCACATCTAGCCTAAAACCTTTGGTGGGTCAATGTGGAACTAACCTATTCTTTATTACCTCACTTAGGGGTCGTTTGGTTTGAATACGACTTTTGCTGGGATAAGTTATGTTGGGATTAGTTATCCCGATATTATTTTTATCCATTGTTTAGTATGTTGTATTAAAAATGACAATTATATAATTTTTAAGAAAAAGGTATAAATTATCTTGGTACTTATTACCCCACCCTTACAAGGTATAAGTTATCCCGGTACTAATTTTAATCCTGGGATAACTTATACCAGGTTTACTAACCAAACAAAATATTAAGGTGGTATTAAAATTTTATACTGGCACTATATCTACTTATACCTCATACCAAACGACCCCTTACCAATTCACTAATACCGAATGAATTGAACGGGTTACATAAACTTAGCTAATTTTTACGCCTCTAAATGTTATATATCCAAGATTCTATGCTAATTGGACCAACAGAGACCATTGAGGAGAAGCTCCCAACTTTTATATAATCTGCAAGGCATCTCCTAGACTCCTATACTAACATCAAAACAGTCTTTTCCTCATTAAATGTCAAAGTGTGCTTTTGTCCGCATAAATTTGTGCACTCACTGTGTATTACATTAATTTCAGGTTTTCTTATGATTAATTAATTGGATCCACAATGGGCTTGACAGTATTACAAAAGGGTTAACTGATAAACTCAGCTGACTGTTGATTCCATTGAATTCCTCTCTATAAAAAAACCAGGCTGCTTTGGCTGAGGAAGAACCAGACCTTCATTTTCCAACCAGAAAACTACTGATGCTATTGTAGGCCTATCCTCTGGCAGTTTTTGGACGCACAACAAACCAACTTGAATGCATCTCAATACTTGAGATTCTGAAAATGATTCTTCCAAACGTTCGTCCATCAGTTCCAACGCTTTGCCTTCATTCCAAAGTAACCATGCCTAAAGTAACAAACAGGACACATTTATACAAATGCATTGACAATTGAAAGAGTGAATTAAGGCTGCTTACATGTCCCAAAAGATTGTGATGATGTTCCAAATGACGAAATTTCCTGTTCCTTCTGCCACTAATTATTTCTAGAATGAATACGCCGATACTGAATACATCTGATTTTACTGAATATTTCCCATCAGCAGTATACTCTGGGGACATATATCCACTGCATCAACTCATAAAAAATATAAGTTCATGTACTGATTGAATATAATAAAGATTGTATGGTGTAGGTTTGTAGAACTTACCATGTCCCTATTACTCTCTTAGTTTTTCCTTCCATTTGGTCTCCGCCAAAACTTTTGGCAAGGCCGAAATCAGAAATTTTGGCATTCAAGTCACTATCTAATAAAATATTGCTGGTCTTGAGGTCTCTGTGAATAATTCTAAATCTTGAGTCCTGGTGAAGATAAAGAAGACCTCGAGATATTCCCATTGCAATTTCAAAGCGGTTCTTCCATGCAAGTGAAGCATTTCTGCTTGGATCTGCACAATGAAATCATTGAGGGCTGCAGAGGACTTATCAAATACTAGGAGTAGTATTTAGTTAAAGAATCATTACCAAAAATGAAATAGTCCAAGCTAGCATTGGGCATAAACTCGTAGATTAGCATCCTTTCTTCTCCTTCAAGGCAACAACCCAAAAGCTTGACAAGGTTCCTATGTTGCAGCTTAAAAATGAGAACGATTTCATTTTTTAACTCTTTAAGGCATTGTCCAGAATACTTTGATAGCCTCTTAACTGCTATCTCTTTTCTATTTGGTAGCACGCCCTGCAATTTTTAATCAAGGGTCAGAGATGCCACTTCTAGCTAGAAGTTGAAGATCAAAGTTGATTCACCTTGTAAACCGATCCAAAGCCGCCCTCACCAATCACATTAGCCGAACAGAAGTTTTTAGTGGCAGTAGTAACAGCAACTAAATCAAACAATGGCAACTCGAGGTCTTCGTTTCCAACTTCTGAATCTGTCAATATATATTTTCCGGTCACAAACATGATATTACAGAGATTTTCCATAAGATTATCGAAAATAAAGAAACCTAATCTTTTGGTAAAAGGTGAACAATGTTAAACAGAGAATTTACCTAGGTAGAAAAGCATTCAGAGTTCCCAATTTTCTAATAAAGAATGTTAGACAAGAGTTACCTCTAGTATATTTATCTGTTCTTCTGTTCTTTCTTCGGAAGGAAAACCAAGCTACAAAGCTGAGGATAAAAGCTGCTACCACTGCTGAAATGATCGCAATCAGGACTGACCTCTTTCTCCTCCGATTCCTGTCTGAATCTGTTCCATAAGCAGTCTTCAATTGACATATGAATTGGCCATATCAGTATGAATTGTTTCAGTGAGTTATTTTTATGTTGTTATTGAACCTCTCCCCCTAATCTAGAAATGCTTTCAGCTACTGGACTTCCGTCATCTACATTTGTGCTGCTTCTGCCTAACTACATGGTGCTTCTACAAAGAGAGTTAAAGCACCTTCAGATTTTCAGTGTGCAGGATTTGCTGAAAAAGTAGCCAATTTCAAGCTGTACTGGTAGCTAGAACATCTTTTCTGAAAGATGAGCAAAGTACAGCGGACTATCTCAGTTAGTATCTAATACTACCTGAAGCTAATATGTTATGTGCAGCAAAAGTTTCAAGAGGTCAAGTTAGAGGCGACTCCAACATTTATAGTTATCGGGCCAGATTTGGTGTGAATTCTCACACACGCACACGCACTGACCAGAGCTGAAGAAGTGTACAACCACCTAAGTTTGTGAGAAGCATAAAAGTAAAGTTAATTTTTTGGAAAAACATAAATTTCTCTAGGATGTCCTAGTGTAGTATCCTTGATATTTATCTAGTAGACACATCTAGATGTTCTAAAATGTTGTGGGAAAATATGATTATCCGGTAGATATATCTAGATATTCTAGAGGGTTGTTAGAAGATAAAGTTAGCTAGAATCTTGTACATTATCTAGAATCATCCACAGATAAGTATAAATAAGGAGTGTCTTGTTCATTTGTAATGAAGCCAAAAATCAAGAAAGCCCTTTTTTCCTAAACAAGTTCTTCTATCTAAAAACCCTCCTCTTTTCAAGGCTTCCACTTCTTTAGTTGAATCTTCCTATTTTTAGTTAACGATCTTGGGCTAGTAGAAGGTCTCCAAATAATACCCTTCTTATGCTATTCTTCATATGGTATTAGAGCCATAGGCCGGCTTCTGGATTTCAAGGTCGGGTTAGTGGTTGATTCAACTGGTTTCTTTAAATGGATTTGGGTGGTCGTGCTAATGGACATGGAATGGAGTTATTGAACCAGTCCAACTATAAGGTGTGGAAGACTTGTATGGAGTTATACCTTGTTGGCGAGGATCTGTGGGAAGTTGTCAATGGGAGTAACATAAGTCCTCTTGCTGACGCATCAAAAAATAGCAATGCGCGTAAGAAGTGGAAGCAGATTAATGCTAAGGCAGAGTTTATCCTAAAAAAGTATATCTCTCCTAATTTATTTGATCATATTATAAGGTGTAAATCAGCTCATGAAAAATGGAGGGCCTTAGATCGGCTGTTCAACAAGAAGAATGAAGCTCGGGTACAGATTTTGGAGAATAAGTTAGCTAACACCACTCAAGGTAATCTATCTATCGCCGAGTATTTTTTGAAGGTTAAAAATCTGTGTTCCGAAATTTCTCTATTGAATCCGGACGAGGCTATATCTGAAGCACGAATAAGAAGAATTATCATTCGCGGTTTAAAGCCAGAATATATTCCCTTTGTTACATCAATTCAAGGATGTGTTCAACAACCATCTTTGAAATAATTTGAGAATTTGTTATCGTCACAGGAGCTACTAGCCAAACAAATGACTGGTGTATCTATTAAAGAAGGAGAAAGAAATGCTCTTGTTGCCGATAAAAGGAAATTTAAAGGAAAATCAAGAGATAACATGCACTTTCGATTCTCAAGTGATTCAAGCTCGCCAAGAAGTGGGAGTTTTCCAGTAACGATAAAAAACTTTTAAAATGTTACCGTTGTGGCAAAGTCGGGCACATAAAAAGATATTGTCGAGCCAAAGAGAGCAATATGGCTCAAACCAAGAAAGTTGTTGAAGAAGAAGAAGAAAATGAAGAAGACTGTGAAGTCGTAGCGGAGACTCAAGCAATAAATGACATGGCTTCCATAAATTTTGAAAGAGACTGGATCGTGGATTCAAGATGTGGGCACCATCTCACTGGAGATCAACCCAAATTCTCCACCTTTTCGCGAATACAACGGGGATGATGTCATTGTTACAGCAGATAATACAATCCATAATGTGGAGAAGGAAGGCAGTGTTTTAATCAACGAGAATCAAAAAGATACTATCACCCTCAACAGTGTCTTTCATGTTCGAGGTATGAAGAAAAATATATTTTCATTTGCAAATGTTGTAGATGCTGGAAACTATTTGTTATTTGGCCCACGTGATGTGAAGTTCCTCTGAAATATTTAGGTGCTCAAGGCAGATATCATTTACTCAGGTAAGAGAGCTAATGATTTATATGTCTTATCTGCCTCTAATTCATATATTGAGAAAATGAGTAGCAATGATAATATACATCTTTGGTAGGCTAGACTTGGACATCTTAGCATGGATAAATTACAAGCCATGGTAAAATTGAATCTAATAAAAGGATCACCTAACTTAAGAAATTTTGGTGGAGGAGAGGTTTGTGAAGGATGTCAATATGGAAAGGCACACAGTCTTTCATTTGACAGATCCTTGTCAAGGTGCAATGCCCCACTAGAACTTATTCACAGTGACTTGATGGGGCCAACGAAAACTCCTTCATTCTCAGGCTATTGTTATATACTAATTTTCGTTGATGATTTTACTAGATTAGCTTGGGTTTATTTTGTGAAGCACAAGTCAGAAGTTTCTTATAAGTTTGTGGAGTTCAAAGAAATAGTTGAAGGCGAACTCGATTCCAGAATAAGGCGATTGTGAACTGATAACGGCGACGAGTTCATTTCAGATGATTTTCTTTCCTGTTGTCATCAGCATAAAATTAAAAGAGAACTCACATGCATTGATACGCCACAACAAAATGGAGTGACTGAAAGGAAGATCCATCACTTAACTGAGACATGTCAGAGTTGGCTTCATTCCAAGAATTTACTTAGAGCCTTGTGGTCTAAAGGTATGAAATGTGCAGTGTAGGTGATTAACAGGACTGTCTCCAAACAATATGAGGTCTCCCTACGAATTAATGTTTGGAGACAAGCCTAGCGTTAAATACCTTAGGGTTTTTGGCTCTATTTGTTATGTTCATATTTCGGATTCTCAACGGAGCAAGTTGGATGCCAAAGCAAGAAAATGCATCTTTGTCGGATATGATGAAAGAAAAAATGGATGGAAGTGCATAGATCCTAAAACTCATCTCTTTGTTGTTTCAAGGAATGTTATATTCGATGAAGTCTCTTTGTATTATGGAGTTGGGCAAGAAAGGGCAGGTTATAAACCCTTGAACCTTGAAGCATCAAATCTGCCCATCACAAGTACTTCTTTAGATAATAGAGTTGTCGAGGAGATAAGAGAAAGGGGGACCCCGAGAACTCAAAGATATGAAACTCAACAAGAAGATGATTCAACTGTTTTAGGAAGGCCAAAAAGAACTATTGATAGAAACTAAGCGTCCACCAAATTGTATAGAGAACCAGGTTCTCTATCAGTTTCCATAGTAAGCAACAGATTATAAAACCAAACAGTATAGCGAACCAGGTTCTCTATTTGTTCCCACAGTAAATCGACAGTAAATAAAGAACACAGAGGAATTTTACCGTGGAAAACTCCCAGCTCAACGGGATAAAAATCACGACCTACCCTTGTAGGATTTCAACTTCACTACTGAGCAATCTTTAGATTACAACCTATTGTAACCTAGGAATTAACCTCTTAATCCCTCACTAATTATAACTATACTATTACAAGCCACTTTGTAATAACTCTATTACAAAGACTTAATCACTTACTAACTTGTAACAACACTATTACAAGCCATTTTGTAATACCTCTATTACAAATACTTCCAACTCGACTAACTCTAGCCAAGGCACAAACACAATGATTTATGATTTACAAAGGTTTCCTACACAATGCTTCTAACTAAGCTAAGTAGGAATTATAAGTGAAGAACAAAATAACATAAACTCAACAAACCTAAGGACTTAAGATATCTTCAATCTTTGGATCTGGTCCTTGAGGTTGCAATAGCTTTGTTCTTGAGAGATGTGATGGCTAACACTTGAGAGAATATCTTTCTTTTATTTGCAAGTGTAGAAATGTGTCTTTTACCTCCCTTGAATGCATATATACATGTGCGACATCACATGTAATGATTCAAGCAAGATAGGTAAAAAGTCTTCCCGGGAAAGTTGACTGCAGCACTGTTCCTGCACTGTAGTGTGTGCAGGCAACAACTTTCCAGCTGGAGCGTTGACTTCATATAGTCACCTCGGGAACTGGTAGGGACCTGGTTCTTCATTTGTTCCTTCAATTATGAAGAGTTGAGCCATATCCCAAACTGGATCCCAACCTGGAACCTTGTGATCTTAAGGTCTTAGGAATGTTTAAAGCTGTAGAGTTGACTATACGACGACCAGGGGAACTGATCCATATTTGTTCCCTCTACTGTTCCCTTATCTGATTTTGTTGAGACTTGAACCAGACATCTGACTAGTTACTCTGAATGCAAGAGAACTAATTGTATCAGGTTCCTTATCTGGTTCTCTCATTAAGTTTGTCAAATCATCAAAACAAAAGACGCATAACTTATCAATTTCTCCCTTTTTAATGATGAAAAACTTAGAATTGATATTCCCCTGAGAATCATATCTCCACATTGTTCCCCTTGCGAATTAGCCATATTCCTCATGAGAACCAAACCAAAGGAACTGATCACAACTGGTTCTTCAAGATTGTTTAGCAAATCATCAAAACACAAAATAACATAACTTATCAACTATTGTCAAACCAACTCGTTTCAGAGATATGCCAGCACATAATGATGTTTCTTTGCAGGACCAATTGAAGAACCTTCGGTCCTTAGGGAAGATAGAGGAGCCAGAAAAATAGTGTTGAGAGCTTCACAAAGACACGTCCTAAAGAATCAGTTGAGTTCTTCCGCGACAAGCGTGAGATAGCTTCCAAAAAATCACTTTAAGGGGGAGTGAGAAATATAAAGTAAAGTTGATTTTTTGGAAAAACATAGATTTCTCTAAAACGTCCTAGTATAGTATTCCTGATATTTATCTAGTAGACATATCTAGACGTTTTAGAATATTGTGGGAAGATAAATATCTGGTAGACATATCTAGATATTCTAGAGGGTTGATAGAAGATAAGGTTAGCTAGAATCTTCCTTGTACATTATCTACAATCATATCTAGACTCATACACAAATAAGTATAAATAGGGGGTGTCTTGTTCATTTGTAATAAAGCCAAAAATCAAGAAAGCCCTTCTTTCCTAAACAAGTTCTTCTATTTAAAAACTCTCTTCTCTTTTCAAATCTTCCTTTTCTTTAGTTGAATCTTCCTATTTTTAGCTAATGTTCTTGGGCTAGCAGAAGGTCGACAAATAATACCCTTCTTCTGATATTGTTCATAGCTCGGACTTAGGTGCAGTTGTCTAATAAGGATGCGGATCGAGAAGTTGAATCTTTCATGATCTAAATCATAAGATTTGGGGATATGGATCTAGGTAAGTATACGGTTGCTAAGATTTTGTTAAAAATAATTCAAATATCTAAAAATAGAGTTACCAAAATATGTTGAAATTATGAGACATTATGTTGAAAACATATATAGTATTCTGAGAAGGAGAAAATATTGATCAAGAGGAAAATAAGAGAAGGAGATAAAAGAAAAAAGATTGACATAGAAACTTCTATTTTCTTCAGTTTCACTTATCTTTTGTTTTGATTTCAGACATCATTGTATCTATCCCTAATTTCTCAATCGACATTTGTCAAAGTACCAAAAATCGGTTGACCAGATCCTGTATGTATCCACACTCACACCCACACCCAAGACATGGGTGCGGCACCGTAAGTGAAGAGTCCGAGCGACTAAGATAACCACACCCTCTGTTGGCATCCTAGATCTGCCTTGACGTTTAGCATATTTTAAGCCTTTACAAGGGAGAAAACTTCTCCTTAGCAATACTACTATTTTATCAGTGTACTAATTGTAGTGCCATACAAGAAGAGGGTAAGGGTCACTGTCACACTCTTTGTAGGACAAGTTCATAGTAGATTATCACCTCCTGCTAGTATGGAACCTCAAAGGGAAAAAAATGCAGATAAGGCATTTAATGGTTGATAAAACCTTAGACCAATTTTCTGATGTTTCAGCAAGTTAGAAACACCACCAGAGCGAAACTTCGCCATAGCTGGATAAATGCATTTTTATCATTTACAAATCAGTTGCATATTACCAACTATTAAAGCACCTAATCAACTTTAGCATCTATCAATTAAGTAAATAAGATAGTACAGTTCCTTGAATTCTATATTTAGAATAAAATGAGAAAATGGTACAGGGTAGGGTCATTACCTAATTCTGAAGCAGCGACTCTCACGAACAAGTCTTGCTCATTGTGGCTCAACTTTCTAATATCAATGAGTTGTCCAAACCATAGTAAGCATCCACTTCCGCCGTTTCTAACATCAAGATTTGAGTAGGCTGTACAATTGCAATCAGCCAAGCACATTTTTTTGCATTCTTCAAGGTTCATGCCCTGATTATACCACGAGTGTCTAGTATCCGGCATCTTAATACCCGTCAATTTAAGAAAACCATCTTGGTTACAAGTCAAAGAAGTTTTCCTTAAAATATGCCCTGCAATTGATTAGGATACCTGTGAAGACATAATTAACTAATTAAAAGTATGCTCTCTCTAATAGCTTAACATGGTATCAAGCAAATAGAAGGGAGTTTATATGAGATTGTGACATTGTCACATATTTTAACAATACCTAGGCTCAAAACCTTGTAAGCAGTCACATGGAGGAGAGTTATTGATGTTGCATTTTGCATAAGGACCACATAAAGCAAAACGATCACAACTATCTGCTTGTGTTCCCACGTAGAGTAACCAGCTGCGACTGCGCTCAATCCATGTTAGTTGATCTACCAGCCCAGCCTGATTGATCACAATCCTGGTGGGCAGGGGCTCATTAAGCTCATATTTGAAGTAAATCTCCTGCTGATTAATAACAAACTCGAAACTGTAATATATAGTTGGTTTATTTTTGGGACTACTACTAAATCCAATACCATTCCATGGCCCTACGCTATATACTATAGATGAATTTTTCCACATGAAAAATTGCGGGTACCCATGAGAATCCAGACGTTCCATATATTCACCAGGAGCAGGATCATCAGTGCTCTTCCACGCCGATATGTACCATTCCATGCCCGTGACCAAATTACGTCCAAGCTTCATGCCAGGTAATAAAGTATTTCCTGGATAGTCAAAACTCTGCCACACCATATTAATTTCCGGATCTCTGTCATTTCCATCACTGACAACAAGGTTCCCAGAATCCAAAAGCCGTGCTTTTGGATTCTTTAAGGATCTTGACGAGTTTGATGACCAAATTGAAGCATTGGAACTGTTGATAAGTACAAGAATTCCATTGGGTCTTAGTGTTAACACTCCTGAAGTGTCATTCAGGGGAATGTTTCTGTTGGCAACCCAGACGACAGTTTTAGGTAATATCTTCTTGTACCATATCCCAACATAGCGATTCTTGGAATTTCCAGGGCTGAAAAATCCAAGTTCATAAACCCCACCAGCTGAAACAATTGTATCACCATCTCTAATGGGTTTATCTCTAGTGATCGTGTCTAATGCTGTGGAAGTTAGTAAGATGAAGAGTAATTGGGAACAAACAAATAAAGGTAGCCCTTTCATGAATTCTGACTCATGTTTTTAGTTGACAAGGTTAAAGCCTTAAAGCCATATATAATATAGGGGACACAAAAAAGAGAGAATTCCACTAACTTTGACCGACAAGGCTAATATAAAGTTATGTTCATTATTCGTTTATATAAAGAAAATGACATGAAATCTTATTTGCATACTGAAATGTGAATTGGATCTTGGAAGCATCTTAAGGAAATGACCTAAATATTTGTTTTTGGAAAACTCTTAATGAAGGTCTTTCACGGCCTCTTTATTTTATTGGCGAATACCTAAAATTTAGAACAATATCACTTCAAAATTTGAATAGTTCGTTCAACTTTACTGTTGAGACTTGAGAGACATAAAGGCCGCTAAGAATTATATCAAGTATTAATTAGCATGTAAAAGTCCTAACTCTTTCAAAGTTGTACGCCTTTGACTCCACTCCCCAATTCCATCCGGTGTTTGCAATATATGTATGCTATGTCCCTCCATATTTGCCTTTATTATTTTAATCTTTGTCAGTTTTTTATATAAATTTTTACCTTATTTTGTCACCTAGCTATCCTAAGTTAGTATTATCGGTGATTCTTTTAATATGTTCTTTAAGAATTTAACACTCCAATCATCATATCATATCATACTATATTATAAGCGGGAACCCTAAAGAGAAAAGTTAAAAGACCAATAGCCATAAAAAATTGAATGACAATTTTACCCTTGTAAAAAATAAGAAGATCCTTCTATTAAATTTTAATTTCAGCTGTATTTGAATCGGATAAATGGAGAATAAATTCATCTTCCAGTAATAGGTTCTTGGAGTAAATATTATACAGTATTTACATTGTAGCCTTTTCACATTCTTAGCTTATTTATTTTGTCCTTTGAGTTTCCACAGATAATAGAAATATTGTAGCCTTTTCACATCTTTATTGCACTTTGCACTATATAAAATTGCTCCAGAAAACTGTCAAATCACTTTATCCTTTTCTACTCCTCAAAAATTCTCTTTTTTCCAAAAATTTACTGCCGTGTGTTTTGCTCAACACCATCTTGAGAGGTAATTTTCTTTTAGTTTGCTATTAGACCAATTCAATTTTTTGTTGACTCGTTATGTTTGTGAACCTCTCTATTCTATTTCATTTCAACAGAGGAGTAGGTCCTATTTACAATATGTCCCCTTTACGATATATTAAAGGGCTTACGAAGTCAAGGCGGACACTATTATTTTTTTACATACGTAGAATCTTGGCTCTGTTAATTTTCCAATTCGTTAATGCCTAGAGGTTATATGACAGATTTTCTTAGTATCAGCTTGTTATAAAAGATGTTGTAGTGTGATGATTCATGTTAAATAGGAGTAGCACAATTCATTTTTTACGTAGAATACTGTCACAACCCAAAATCCCTCCGAAGGAGTCGTGATGGCAAATAGTTTCTAAACTAGGTAAGCCTAGTATTAACAAAAATGACATTGATATTTACTAACTTTAAATTAGATAACTCTGAACAATTACAATTTTCAAAACCGGTAGTACAAGTCATAAGCCAATCTAGGAGTAGTTATACATAATACATACATCACTGTTTCAGAACAAAAAGGAACCAATGAATATAAGTACAAATGAAGGTGACTCCGAGGCCTGTGAACGCAGCATCAGGTTTACCTTGAGTCTCCACCGCGACGATCCGTACAGCTACTACCGATCAAATACCTGGATATGTACAAAAATGTACAGAAGTGTAGTATTAGCACACCACAGCGGTGCCAGTAAGTATCAAGACTAACCCCGGTGGAGCAGTGACGAGGGACAGTCAAGACACCTACTGGTCTAATAAATTGAACATGATATAATAATAAACTAACAATGGTAAAGACAACAAAGTAATACCAATAACAGGGAGAAATCAAACAACAAATAGTAGAGACAATAAAAGGGAACACATGTGATGACCCAAAAGGTCATCACTTGTTTTAAAAGTCAATTCTGTGTTCCGAGACCTTAAAAACCTCCTTTTCTCTCACTTCGATTTACGTGCACGGTCCGGGCGTAAATACAGAAAGCTTCTATGTGAAAATTTGAGGAAAGTGCTAATTTTGCCTTTAAAATTAAATTTAAGTTGATTTCGGTCAATATTTTTGGTAAACGGAACTGAACCCGTGATTTGATGGTCCTGAAGGGTACGTAGAAAAATATGGGACTTGGGCGTATGTCCGGAATTAAATTCCGAGGTCCCTAACCCAAGAAATGAATTTTTGAAAGAAATTATTTAACTGAAATTATAAGAGTTTTTGGAAATTTAAATATGTTTGAATTTGATGGTATCGGGCCCATATTTTGGTTCCGGAGCCCGGTACAGGTTTGATATGATATTTAAGTTGTGCCTGTAAAATTTGGTAAGAAACGGAGTTCAAATGACGTGAATCGAACCCTGGTTGTGAAATTGGAAACTTAAGAGTTCTTGAGATTTTTCTTTGATTTTGATGCTAAAATCGTAGTTCGAGGTGTTATTTTGGCGATTTGATCACACGAGCAAATCCGTATGATGTTTTAGGTTTGTGTGCATGTTTGGTTGGAGCCCCGAGGGCTCGAGTGAGTTTTGGATAGGTTTCGGGATGTTTTGAACTTAAGGAATTCTGCAGTTTTGCTGCTTCTGGTATCCTAATAATTTGTTCTTCGCATTCGCGATGCAGCTCACGCGAACGCAAAGTACAAGCTGGGCTGCGGAGGGATTTCTTCTACGCGAACGCGAGGCCTTGTTCAAGAACGCGGAGCACTGGGGGGTTTGCTCTTCGCGAACGCGACTGGCCACATGCGAACGCATAGTGCAATGGAGGTCGCTGGGGGAATCTTTGAGCTGTTCTTCGAGAACCTGGGCCCAGGCCAGCGAATGCGATGGTCAGGGGGGACAGACCATTGCGAATGCGAGCAGCTCATCGCGAACGCATAGGCCCTTCTGGCCATAAGCTTCGCGAATGCGACAGACCCCTCGCGAACGTGAAAGAGGCCTGTCCAGCAATTTAAAACAAAGGCAGAACGGGATTTTTACCAAAATTTCATATCTCCTTCCCCAAAATCAGACCCTAGGAAATTTTTGAAGAGCAAATTCAACCCTAAATCATAGGTACGTGTTCTTGAACTCAATTCCTTTATTTTCCATCAACACCCATTAAATTTCTAGGCCTAAATCTTGTTCTTCAAGGGGTAGAAATTAGGGATTTTAGGAGAATTGGGGATTTTATAAATTTGGGGATTTAGACCTCGATTTGGGGTCGGATTCCAAAACTAATTGTATATTTGGGTTCGTGGGGGAATGTGTAAACGGGTTTTGGTTTGAACCTCGAGTTTTGACCAAGCGGGCCTGGGGTCGGGTTATGACATCTTTGGAAGAATGTTGGGAAATCCGTAGTTTGTCATTTGAATTGGTTTATTGAGCTTCAATTAATGTTAATAAGTTAATATTGACTAGATACAATTGAATTGGAAATGGAATCAAAAGGAAAAGTGGTGTTTGAGGCTTGAGTGTGGCCTTGGAAGTTCGAGGTAAGTGTTTGGTCTAACCTTAGCTTGAGAGAATAGGTGTTGTGCCTTATTTGCTATGTGCTAGTGTAGTGTACGATGTATATGTGTTGTGACGAGTACCTATACGTTGGTGTCAAGCATGTCCGTGAGTCTTAAATTATGATCTTTGTGTTTCTTAATAAGTAATACAAATGCCTAAATTGTTGATTATCAATGTTGAGCAAGACTTATGATTATCTTCTTGGTATTTGTTTATTGTTGAGCATTAGCTCCAGTTGAGATTCATTTGTGAAGTTAATTATTGGTACAAGTTTGGTTATAGTTGATTTCCTTGCCGGGACGTATTTAATTCTTATTGTTAATTCCCTTGCCGGGATGTATTTATTCTTATTGTTGATTCCCTTGTCGGGATGTTGTTATTGCTATTGTTTGGGTGAGGAAATAGTGATAAAGCACGAAGGGGTGATGTCGTGCACATTCATACTTATGCATATGGTGAGGAAAGAGCGATAAAGCACAAAGGGTGATGCCGTATACATTTACATTGATATTGATGCATATGGTGAGGAAGAGAAATAAAACACGAAAGGTGATGCCATGCAAATTTCTAATATTTATATGGTGAGGAAGAGAGATAAAGCACGAAGGGTGATGCCATGTACATTTTCATTATTGATTGCATGGTGAGGATTTAGAGTAAAAGCACGAAGGGTGATGTCGTGCACTTATTGCCAGTTTGTTATAATTTCTTGTTGTTATTGGTTCAAGTGCCTTAATTGTTTCATTCCGTCATTACTGTGATTTTTTATGTTGGTATTTCCCCCATAGCATGTTACCCCTCCCTGTTACTTTTGAATTGATTCTATTACTGTTATTCTACTAGATACTATTTAACTACAGGTTATGTTGTTTGTTGTGTCCTAGCCTCGTCACTAGTTCGCCGAGGTTAGGATCGACATTTATTCAGTACATGAGGTCGGTTGTACTGATACTATATTCTGCACTCTTTTTTGTAGATTCCGGTACTGGAGCATACGTACCTTAGCTAGGGGTTGCTTCCTTCAGTCCATCGGAGACCGAGGTAGTCCTACAGGCGTCCGCAGGCCTTGGCGTCCCCTTCCTATCTTGTTTTTTTCTGTTCTTTTCTATTTTAGAGATAGACATGTATTTTCTTTGTTCAAACCCTATTTGTAGTTTTCTTAGATAGTCTATGAGATTATGACACCAGTTTTGGGTGGTTTATTATTATGGATTCGTATTGGTATTAGCTTAATTGTTAAATTTTTTTTTCCGCATTATTATTGTGCTGTTTATAATATGTTAACTTGCAATTGTTAAGAGATTAAAAATGAAAAGGGTAAATTAATCAGAATAGTTGGCTTGCCAAGCTTTCACTAGTAGGCGCCATCACGATCCCGACGGCTGGAAATTCGGGTTGTGACAAGTTGGAATCAGAGCTCTAAGTTGCTTAGGTCTCACAATTCACGGACAAGCTTAGTAGAGTCTAAGGGATCGGTACAGAGACGTCTGTGCTTATCCCCTAGAGGCTACGGAGTTTA